ATCCTATGATTAGGTCTTTTAGTGAGCCTGGGCCTCTGGATTGTGAACTTCACGTGTGCTGTTTAGTCTGCAACCCTCACCCCTCGCTTTCATGTGGAATAGGATGGCTAGAGGGGGCTGGGGCTGGGTGTTTCCCTTTCCCCAGGACAGTGTTAGTCTCCGATAAAATCCAAGCAGGTTCGGCTCTGGTTAGTTTCTCCTGAGGGCAGAGCTTAAGAAGAACAGGATGCTGTGGCATATTTCAGGATGGTTCCTTTTCCCTTTCCCTGCTGGAAACATGAGGGGACTTCTCTCCAGCTTTCACTGTGAGGATTAGGACTGTTCCTGGAGGTAACACTCACAGAAGTGTGGGGAACCCAGTAACGCAGCTCTCAGAGTTGTCCACACTGAGCCTTCAGCCATTTGTCAATGACAGTTCAGGTTTCCCTGTCCTGCCGTTGGTGCCCACGGAGGTGGCTGCTCCTGGATTTCTGCTCTGGTAACTTGGAATTCTTTGTATTTGCCTGTCTATGTCTCCAATTTGGCGGGCAGCCATTCGCCTTGTGACCTCACTTCTCTTATGGATCTAAGAAGAGCTGTTGATTTTTCAGTTTGTTCTGCTTTTCCCTTGTTGTGACGATGGAGTGGTGACTTCCAAGCTTCTCACATGCCATATCAGAAGAAGTCCTTCATTTCTTTTTTATTGCCTAGTAATATTCTATTGTGTGGATATGCCTCATTTTATTTATTCATTCATCAGTGGATGGTCAGGTTTGGATTGTTTCCAGTTCATCTTTTCAATTTTTAAAAAATTGAAGTGCAGTTGATTTACAATGTTGTATTAGTTTCTGGAGTAGAGCAAAGTGATTCAGTATATATATACTGAATATATATATATATATATATATATATATTCTGAATATATGTTGTATATATTATTTTTCAGATTCTTTTCCATTAGAGTTTATTACAAGATGTTGAATATAGTTCCCTGTGCTATACCATAGGTCCTTGCTGTTTATTTTATATATAGTAATGTGTATCTGCTAATCCCAAACTCCTAAGTTATCCCTCCCCTCCTTTTCATCTTTGCTAACCATAAGTTTGTTTTCTATGTCTGTGAGTCTGTTTCTGTTTTGTAAACAAGTTCATTTGTATCTTTTTTTTTTTTTTTTTTTCCTTGCGTTATGCGGGCCTCTCACTGCTGTGGCCTCTCCCATCTGCGGAGCACAGGCTCCGGACGCGCAGGCTCAGCGGCCATGGCCCACGGGCCCAGCCGCTCCGCGGCATGCGGGATCCTCCCGAAACGGGGCACGAACCCGCGTCTCCTGCACCGGCAGGCGGACTCTCAAGCACTGCGCCACCAGGGAAGCCCTGTATCTTTTTTTTTTTACATTCCACATATAAGTAATATCATATGATATTTGTCATTCTCTGTCTGACTTACTTCACTTAGTATGATAATCTCTAGCTTCATCCATGTTGCTGGAAATGGCATTATTTCATTCTTTTTTATGGCTGAGTAATATTCCATTGTATATTTATACCACATCTTCTTTATTCATTCATCTGTCACTGGGCACTTAGGTTGATTTCATGCCTTGGCTATTGTAAATAATGCTGCTATGAACACTGTGGTGCATGTATCTTTTCGAGTTAGAGTGTTCATCTTTTCTGGATATATGCCCAGGAGTGGGATGGCTGGATCATATGGCAGCTCTATTTTTAGTTTTTTGAGGAACATCCATACTGTTCTCCATAGTGGCTGCACCAATTTACATTCCCACCAACAGTGGAGGAGTGTTCACTTTTCTCCACGCCCTCTCCAGCACTTATTACTTGCAGATTGTTTGATGATGGCCATTCTGACTGCTATGAAGTGATACCTCATTGTAGTTTTGATTTGCGTTTCTCTAATAGTTAGCGATGTTGAGCATCTTTTCATGTGCCTGTTGACCATCTGTATGTCTTCTTTGGAGAAATGTCTGGTTAGGTCTTCTGCCCCTTTTCTTGATTGGGCTGTTTGTTTTGTTGTTGCTGTTGAGTCGTGTGAGCTGTTTGTATATTTTGGAAATTGAGCTCTTGTCAGTTGCAGCTTCGTTTGCAAATATTTTATCCTACTCCATAGGTTGTCTTTTCATTTTGTTTATGGTTTTCTTTGCTGCGCAAAAGCTTATAAGTTTGACTAGGTCCTATTTGGTTATTTTTGCTTTTACTTCTTTTGCCTTGGGAGTCTGACCTAAGAAAACATTGCTATGATTTACGTCATTGCTATGAAAACATTGCTATGAAAATGTTTTGCCTATGTTCTCTTCTATGAGTTTTATGCTGTCATGTCTTATATTTAAGTCTTTAAGCCCTTTTGAGTTTATTTTTTGTGTATGGTGTGAGGGAGTGGTCTAACTTCATTGTTTTACATGTAGCTGTCCAGCTTCCCCATGCTACTTGCTGAAGGGAATGTTTTTTCTCCATTGTATATTCTTGCCTCCTTTGTTGAAGATTAATTGACTATAGGTGTGTGGTGTTTCCAATTTTTGATTATTATGAATAATATTTCTATGAATGCCCATGTTCAAGCTTTTATGTGGACATTTGGTTTCATTTTTCTTAGGTAAAAACCTAGGAGTAAAGTTGCTGGATCATAAGTTAACACATATGTTTAAATTTTGAGGAATTGCTGAACTATTTTCCAAAGTGGCTGCACGATTTTACATTCACACCAGCCCTATATGAGAGTTCCGATTTCTCTTGTTATTGTCTGATTTTTTTGATTACAGACATTCAACTAGGTATGAAGTGGTATCTCAATATGTTTCTTTGTTTGTTTGGTTTGTTCTGTTTTTTATATTTAGGTATTATCATCGAATGTCTTTTCTTCCCCAGTTTTATCGAGGTATAATTGACATACGGCCCTGCATAAGCTTAAGGTGTACAACATAATGTTTTGACTTACATACATCATGAAATGATTACCATAATAGGTTTAGTGAACATCCATCATCTCATATAGATACAACATGAAAGAAATAAATATTTTTTTCATTGTGATGAGAACTTTTAGGATTTACTGTCTTTACACAATACGGTTTTGATTTACATTTCCCTAATGGCTTAAGATGTTGAGCACGTTTCCAAGTGCTTATAGATGATTTACATATATTTTTTGGAGAAATGCCTATTCAAATCATTTGCCTATTTTAAAATTGGATTGTTTGTTTCTTTATTGTTGAGTTTTAAGAGTGTTTTACGTATTCTAGATACAAGTCCCTTACCTGGTATATGATTTTCAAAAGCGTTCTTCCATTGTATGGGTTGTTTTTCACTTTCTTGATGGTGTCTTTTGAAGCACAAAAGTTTTTTATTTTGATAATGTCCAGTTTATCATTGTTGTTGCTGTTACTGCTGCTTGTGCTTTTGTTGTCATATCTAAGAAACCATTGACTAATGCAAATTCACAAAGGTTTACACCCGTGTTTTCTTCTAAGAGGCTTGTAATTTTAGCTCTCACATTTAGGTCTTTGATCCATTTTGAGTTAACTTCTGTATGTGGTATGAGGTAAGGGTCCAACTTCATTCTTTTGCATGTGGATATTCACTTGTCCCAGCACAATTTGTTGAAAAGATTTTTCTTTCCCTTCTTAATTATCTTGGCACACTTGTTGAAAATCAAGTGACCAAAAATATGAGTGCTTATTTCTGGATTCTTAGTTCTATTTCATCCATCTATATGTCTATCCTTATGCTAGGACTACACTGTCTTGATTACTGTCTCTTTGTATGTTTTGAAAATTGTTTTGAAGCTAGAAATTGTGAGACCTCTACCTTTGTTCCTTTACAAGATTTCTTTTTTGGCTATTCTGCTTCCCTTGAGTTTCTGTATAAATTTTAGGATTGAGGTAGGAGGTAGATGGGCCCCTGGGCTGAACAGCTGGTTTTTGTCAAGTGGAGTACAATCGAAGCTTTGTTTTCCCTGGACACTCCAAGGACGAGGTTAATGGCAGGAGCTGAGCTCTGCTGGAGTAAAGAGATAAGATGACCACTCCTGAGGTCAAGGAAAACTCCCTGACTGCACAGGTGCAGAAAGACTCCTTGGGGTTCAACATGGAGGGCCCACCACCCCATAACAGGTGACGCCAAGCCTCCACAAGCCTCTGCGCTGGAATCCATCTTGACAAAACGATGTGCATGCATGTTGGGGAGTGTCCTAGAACAAGTCAGATGTGGGAAAAGAAGTAAGAAAGTTGGCCAAAGGTAAACAAAGATGTGGAACAACTGCCCCTATATAAATGATTTAACTGCCTCTTTACTGCACTCCTCCTCATTAGGGGGGACACCCACAGTCTTTCTCTCCAGGTGTGTATTTCTGCCTTGCTTCTGTCTTAAATAAACAAACTGTTTCTCTGTGTGCTCTCCCACTTGTTGTGCTGTGTGTCTAATAATAAACTTTGGACCAGTTTTTACAATTTTTGCCCCTTTGAGACATTCATGTTTCAAATGGGGCAAGGGCCGGGGGAACTTTGCTTCTAGCCTCTAGCCCATGGTGGTCTAGTGACTAGGATTCCTGGTTTTCATCCAAGCTGCTCAGGTTCAATTCCTGGGCAGGGAACTAAGATCTCTCTTCAGGACCGCTCACTGCTGTCTCTCTGATACCAGGATCAGCTTGTCAGTTTTAGAAAAGAAGTCTGCTGGGATTTTGATGGGATGGTGTTGGATCTGTAGATCACTTTGGAGGGTATTTTCATCAGAATAGTAAGTCTGCTAATCCGTGAACATGGGTTGCTTTTCCATTTATTTAAGTCTTTTAAAATTTATTTTAACAATGTTTTGTAATTTTCAGAGTATAAGTATTAGACTTTTTTGGTTAAATTTATTCCTATTTTGATGCTTTTGTGAATGCAATTTTCTTCTTAATTTTTTTTCTGGATTGTTCATTGCAAGTGTATAGGAATACTATTGATTTTTAAACTGTTGATCTGGTATTCTGCAACCTTCTGAACTCATTCAGTCTATCCTTTTTTCAGATCCCATTTAAAATTATGAGGGGACACCAGCACATTGTGAGTTCCTGTCACTTCTGTGTGGATGACACAAAGGTCCTCAGTGGCTCCTATGACTGCACCGTGAAGCTGTGGGTAGGTGGCCCAGTGTTAGGTGGAACCAAAACGTCCCATAAGCTTATGTCTCCTCTTGTGGAGAGTTCCCCGGTACTGAGTTCCCAGACATTCAAGGATCCCAAAGATTTGGAGAAGACCTTTCTGAGCAAAGTGCAAGGAGAAGCAAAGTGAGGGCTCACCCTAGTTTCAAGTCACCAGAGAGAGATGAGGTTAGTGTGGCTGCTGTCAGCCTGTTAATTTAGAAACAGTGGGAGCAGGGATGGAGACCACTGGACCAGGAGCTCACCACCTTTTGTTAGAGGCTGTGCCTGAGACCTACCTGGGGTCTCTGAGCTGTGTTATCTCTCTGGTTCTCCTTCTCATTTGGAATATTCAGTTCCATCCACAGAGATGGTATTACGGCTAGGCCTAGGGGATCACAAGAGGACAGAAAAGTGGCCAGACCTGGGACCTGTCCATGAAGGGTGATTGGGAGAGGTAGGCCTGAGCACAGGTCGGTGCCACAGGGTGCAGGAAGCAGGGGCAGAGGAACAGGGATGTGGTGGTCAGATGAGGTTACAGAGAGGTGGCCACCAAGAGCTCTTCCAAAGTCTTCTGGGCATAGCCAGCAGACTCTAGTGGGCCTGCTTGGGGGCACTGCTGGTCAGTCAGGAGCGGGTGAGGAGGGAGCAGGGCTGGGAGATGGCAATGGCCATCAGGGGCCAGGCCACAGATGACTGTGTGGCTGGGGCAGGGCCCACTGGGAAGGGCGGTCAGTTCCGAGTTTTGCTGTCTCATCTGGCTTCAGGGGCAGGAGGGGGACAGGGCGGAGTGAGTCAAGGCTGGTTCCTGGGTTCTGGTTTGGGTAACTAGGTGGAGGATAGCTCCTTACCCTCCAGATCACCTTGGAGGAGCATCTTCTGGGGTCTTGGAGGGTACCAAGCCAGGCAGACTAGGCAGGAGGGTTTGGGGCTATCCAAGTGGTTCGGGCCCCGCATTAGTGACCTACCAGCTGTTTGACCCTGGGTGGTTACATGACCTCCTGGGCCTCCCTAAACCTCCCCAGGCCTCACAGGATCAGCTGTGTGCTGGGGCCACCCCAGGGCCTGCCTGGCCCATACCAGGTCCCGACAGACATCCACTCTCTCCTTTTCTGTGGCCCTTAGCCACCCCCCATCCCCCCACCCAGCCCCATGATCTTCTTGTTGGGAAAACCACTGCTTCCTCTGGGAACCCTAAGCCCTTTCCCAACCCTCTGGGATGACTGAGAAGGCCTGGGGGTGAGGGGGTCCCTGCTGGTTGTTACCCAGGGGGAGGGGGGAATGGTGACTTTCCAAGTGTGCATTTTGCTTTGTCATCTTCAGATGCTTCTCATGTTCTTCTCACCTTTTGAGTCAGTGGAAGGACTCTCAGCGGTTTCTGTCTATTTTGGCCGGAGGGCTTCTGTCTCTATAAGGGGACATCTGCCTGTTTTCTTTTGTTGTCCCAAGATTAGGGACCATCCATCAAGATGTCCTTGGTGGGCTTCCCTGGTGGCGCAGTTGTTGAGAGTCCGCCTGCTGATGCAGGGGACACGGGTTCGTGCCCCGGTCCGGGAAGATCCCACATGCCGCAGAGCGGCTGGGCCCGTGAGCCATGGCTACTGTGCCTGCGCGTCTGGAGCCTGTGCTCTGCAATGGGAGAGGCCACAACAGTGAGAGGCCCGCATACCGCAAAAAAAAAAAAA